CAGAAAAAAATAAAAAGGTAATTGCGACTTTGTATCTCACAATTTTGACTTTTTTCCCCTTGCAATTCTGTTTATATCTCACAATTTGGATCTTTTACTCAGGATTGTGCAAAAGAAGTTAGCTATAAACTATAGCTGAGACTTTTCTTCTCAGAATTGTGAGATATAAACCCGCGAAAAGACTTTTCTTCGCAATAAGAATTTCTCAGTCTCTCACATTTTCAGTCTTGTGAGAACAAAAGACGGGAATTTGGGGAAATTAATTCAGAGCTGTGTGAAGCTCTGTTCTTACACTAAAATAAATCTGAAATGGAGATAAAAAGTTGCAATTGCTTTTTCCGTAACATAATAGCACACCTATCTTTAACATATTGCATAATTTGAGGTATAATTCATGTCTGTAGTGCAAATGGGAATATTCACTTTAATACTTATGGTTAGAAGGTTGTTTAAGTCCATAATCCTAAATATAAGCTATTGTGATCGTGGAAATTGTCTAAGCAAAGCACCACTAATTGTCAGTGTTGTATGACTACTTGATGTTCCTCACCTTCTGTTAAAGTGACAAAAACTAGTTTTGATGTCCTTTCTTTAAAGATGAACAACCTGCTTTGAACAGAAGACTCTTCAGCACGCATCTCGTTTCTGGAATGTACAATTCACCATAGATTCAAACCATTCATACTTGACACTGGAAGGCCAGACTCACTATTTATACAAAAGTGCAAGAAAATCTTCATTTATTATAGGTGTCAAAACAGTTTGGAGACGGGAAGCTGGTGTCACTGGATTGTGTCAGAAAATGTTCAAAATGCTGACATTTTGGCCTGTTTTCCCATTTTACATGACATTCCTCCTTTTGTTTCATCCTTAAAGTATCTTAGGACTGGGGCTGTCAAACTTCAAAATTATATCTGATTTGTGAACAAATCGTTCTTTTGAGTTGGATCTTTTCAGTGTATATTATTCAATCAAGTTCACAGTTGGAATGATTCATTCACTGGACGGATTTATTTCTCATGATTCAGTCAATTGGAGTCATAAGGACAACTTAGTATCATAACTGTGATGATAAACTGATAATCTTCCTTTCCAGTCATATGATAACCATTGCAATTGGTATCATGGAGTCCATTGAACTTTTAAGAACCAGATGAGTACGGACATTGTAATTGTGATGAATTAAAGCACCAATCCTTGGTCATTCTTTCAATATATGGAAAATAGCTGCCTGGACATTATTTAAAACATGGATTTGGAATGACACGAGGGTGAGTAAATAATGGATTGTGGATAATCATTTTAACCCACATGTGTAGGTTATGGCAGGACTGAATCTTGTATTAAAGTCACATGATCTGTCTAACCATCAAAATATGTCAGTTTCTAGATTCACTTTAAAACAACAAATGCCTTTCTAAAAAAAAAAAAAAAAAGCAAATTGCTTTTCTGATTGTTCTTTATTTTGCAAATATAGACAGCTGCTAGGCTGTTTTATTTGTAAGATTATTCCTAGCCCTGTTACAAAACACAAAAGTCACATAACAAAGCACTTATGCATAAGCGAGACACCGTTCCTCAATTCAATTTATTTATGTGAGCAACGATATGCCGACTTTGTACTTTGAAATACTGAGAACAACATTAGCAAATCAAGAAAACCAGA